AATCTTGGCACTCTTACGTAACAATTTACTATTTCAACTTTCTGTGGGGTATTATCAAGGAGAGAGATTTACATGAACGATACCAGAATACCCATCAGTTGAAGGACTCCGTTCGGAAAGCCTTTGCAATAATTAACAAAGCACAGCTTCGTAAAATATCACATGGTGTTCATACAGATGTGTGACAGCGTCAATGAAATTGAATAAACTAAATCCAGTACGTGCTTTGTATTTATGTATTGTTTGTACTATTCTCATTACTTTTGCTAGGCGGTGACCAGACTTTCGGACCACCCTCTACAGTAGACTCAAAAACGTAGAGGTCAGTTCGGTTTACATGAGAATCAAAAGAGTAGACATCGATCTGGTTTATAGGAGAGTCAAAGAGGTGAACATAGGTACAGTGTACAATGGACTCAAAATGGTAGACATACATGCGGTTTACAGTAGACTCAATATCGTAGACATAGGTCCGATTTTCAAAAGATCTTCATCCGTCTGGTTTACACTAGAATGGGAAAGGTAGACTTCTGTTCAGCTTACTGTAGACTTGAATGGTGGAAATCGGTCCAGTTTACATGAGAGTCAAAAAGACATGCTTATTGTAGTAAGTGAAAACTTCCCGCTGACATATTCATTCCAAAAGGAAATTGTATTTGATACAAAGTAGTATTCACATCGCTCCCTTTTGGTCTTTTGTTTTGTCGACACTGGAAACTGTTTCTCCATATGTACTTCAGAGACGAAGGAGTCTAATACCATAAGTGTTCGTGTATAATACGAATCTTTCCTCAAATTTAAAGCCTAAATGTTATGGGTGCCACTTTTTTTCCAGTCACGCTATATAGTTTTATATACGGTTCAAACTCAGAAAGAGTTTAAATCAATATGCAAAAAACATTTGTTGAAAAGCATATTCACTCCTGTGTTAAAAGCCTGGCACCATGACAGTTTCCCCGATGTTGTCAGCCTCAGTATAGATTTACTTGACCCCCTACTGATTCAGGTTGAGACACAAGGTCAGTTTTTAATGTGGCTACCCAAGTGTTTTCACTCGGGCCGCTGGTTCAAGCTGGTCTTAGCGGGTCATAGATGGTCCAAACTGGTCAGAGCTGGTCTAAGCTCGTATTACCCATGATACTATCAGAAGTCTTCGTATATGTCTTCGGAATCGTTGATGTCGTTGTCGTCTACAGTGTCATCTTACAATTCTTTCTCAAAAAGGACAGAGTCTGTTTTAAATCACTACAGGTAAATAGCCACTCGTCATTGGAATATGATTTTTTTTATAATTTTGTTTTTCTGAATGCGAGAATTTTTTCGTTGCAAGCTTATATGTGCGCAAACATGCCTGTACGTTTACTTCAAATACTTCGAAAAAGTAATGCTACATTCCTTAGTTCCACCAGTCGAGTTACATTCCTAAGTTGCACCAGTTCAGACCTTTACAGCTTGCACACACCAGGACGCGTGCTCAGCGTCAATTCATCCTCATTCCTTTCTCATTCCTTTGGTAAAGAAGAAGTAGCACCCAGAGACCTTCTTCCCTGGAATTTTCCCTACAATCTCAAACTCTTCAAGTCTAGAGTCGAGCGTTATTTATCTTACATACCCTCGTAATATGCAGTTTAACCCCATCCCCCCCTTGAAACGACCTCATTCAGCAACCCTCAACATTGAAGGTCTCTTAGATCTTGCATTGGGTGAAACGTAATAGAATAATAATGTAAACTATATAAATTATTCTCAGTTTTAGTCGGTACAAAACGGAAATAAGTTGAAAAAATGTTACCGCTGGACTAAATGTAACTGATATTAATTTTTAAATGTTAGTGCGTATTATACACAGAGTATATTCATTTTCCCAAATATTTCATAGCCTAATGTTTAAGAATACGTATTATACCCAAATAATTATGCTACCTGATCGACAAGACATGACAGTTATAATGATTTTCCAAGTGTAGCTTAGATGTGGCACAAAGCCGAAAGTATGAAGCATCCCGTGAGGATTGAACTCACTACTCAGTTGTAACTGATCTAGCAATACAAGCTTGCTAACCATTACACCACGCCGAGGTGCCCTAGTGACTTTCCAAGGCCGAAAGTATGGAGCATGTGCCTATTAGTTTAAAATATATCGGCTTTATCTCGTATATAAGAATTTAATTTCTTCTTTGATGAGTGCTTCCTTTATGGTAATGGCGTTGATAATGAAGTAGAAAAATTCTTGCATAGAAGAGTCGATGGCATTGGTTTTTGCTTTAATAATTTCACCCCAAGCAAGGCAATAAAACCACAAGCGTTTAGTAAGTGTTAGAGAATACGAGAAAAATATACTATTAAGGAGAGCGACCATTATAACAATAAGAATTAAAAACACAGGAAATAACTATTGATATTACATTTTTGAAGATCAAGTTGATTTGAAAGGAAGAAGCCGGAAGAGAGTTCTGCAAGCGAGAAGTGCAATAGAAGAAAACGTTACCATAGAACTTACGGTTACATCTAGCCATTTCAACTGTAAAATGATTAGATCTTGCCGGCAATCTAGTGCCACGTTTAAAATCATAAAGTCAAGATACGACAGAATAAAATTAACCAGAACAATTACCATGAAAGTGTTTATAGAAAAAGGCACAGAGAAGCTGCGTTACAATTTTGCGAAAGTGACTGAATCCGAAATGCCAGGTCAGAACCAATAACATTGCATATTCTTCTTTGGATGTTATCAAGAATCTCTAAATATATAGCAGGAATGCATGCCATTTTTGGTGGAGGAGGAGGTTGTCGAAAATTTAGCTCGTTGTCTGATTTCTTCCTTTTCTCTTTTGGTGGCTTCGAAGATTTTGGCTCCAATGGTGATGTTCCATCGCCAATTGCTACGGTCAGATTATGTTTCAAACGATTTAGGCTCAACACAAGTGACTTTCAGTGTTGCTTTGCATCGGTCCATGTATTTTCGAAGAGGATAATCCCGTGGTCTCTTCCCTGATGTGAGCTCGCAGAATAAGACTTATCGAGGAAACCTAGAATCTTCCATTCTTGCAACATGTCCTGACCGTCTCTGATGTTTAAAGTATAAGACCAAAATAAATATTATTGTCGAAGTGAGTTGCCTTTAGAATAAGGCGTTATTTATGGAGCATTTAGCGATAAAGCAATAGTTTGTCAATGGTTTGCAATCTAACTAACCATATGAACAATGCTCGTCGATCTGAAAGAGGACTATATCTATAGTCGTTAAAAAAAGCAACAGAAATATGTTGGCTTAAATAAAATCTATAATGACTAGAAATACTACTTTGGCAGTGGAAAATTTTTGATCTGGTTGGCGCGTCAGCGTATCTCGAGCCAACCCTTTTATATTCAGTGTCACACTTTGAGCGAATGCCTTTGTAAATGGCTGCAAAGCCTCGAAACGGGGAAACTTTTGTAGGAATTGTTTTCAGTCGCTGCTTTTTTTTTTAGCGATTTTATGTTTTATTTCGAAAACAAAGGGACACCAATCAAATGAAAATTCCGATGGCAATAACAAAAACGAAAACCTCTACATTTTCGTCATCATTTTGGTGAGAAAATTAAGCAAAGGACTCTTATAGCAAGTCGGTAAATTTAATTTACGTATTGATTAACAATTCATCATCGATTTGATTTTTTTTTCTTTGTGAATATGTTTAAGTTGAAAAAATAGGTTAAAATGATTTGCATTGAAACTTTACGCCTGTAGGTCAATTTTGCCACTTCGTTTTGTTTTTTTTTGTGAGGGGGGGGTCTTATTTTAATTTAATTTTTTTTTTTTTTTCATGCGGCTGGTGTTGGGGTTTTAAATACTTTTTGTCATTCATGAAAATTTAGGAAAACATTTACTAAATATGCTACAAACTAAAATCGTTGTCAAAAACTCCATGAGTATTAGCGCGTGTAAAAAAAAAAACAAAAAAAAAATAAAGCAAAAACAAAAAAACGAAACATAGTCTGTTGTTTTATCAATCGGAAGTAATTTTAAAAAAAAAGCTGAGTGACAATTTGAATGATTTCGAATAGAAATAGTAATTTTATTTCTTTTCTTTTAAGGAAGAGCGAACAGAGAGAAGGTAATTTTGTTGATATGCCTTCCATGTAATTTGGAATGAAAAGCAAGAGGAGGAGTTAAAAAAACAAAGAAGGGGGAGTAGCGAGAGAGAAGAACGCAGATATCGAAGAAGAATCAGATGAAGAGAAAAAAAGGGAGGCAAAAAAGAAGAAGATATAAACCAAAAAGAAGACAGAAGAAGCAAAGAAAGAAGAGTAAGGAAAAGGGAAAAAGACTAAGAGACAAAGCAAAAGAATAGAGAAAAAAAAAAGAGAAAATGAAAGAGAAGAAAGCAACAGGAAGAGTAAGAGAAGGAAGAGGAGGAAGAGAAGCGGAACAGAGCAGCAGTTAAAGAAAGAGGAAAAGAGGAGAAAGAAGACGTAAAAAACAAAAGACAAAGAAGAATCATAAAAAGAACAAAAGAAAAAAATTAAAATATAAAAAACTAAAAAAGCATAGAATATCTTTGAGAGTTAAAATAGTTTTAGATTGTAATAATTGTTTTTAAGATAATAATAATTTGATGAAGTAAGTCTTATTAGAGTCTGTCTATATTTCTGAGATGAGATATTATTGTCTTCATCTTTGTCGCCATATTTATGGCAACAAAGATGAGGACAATAGTCCGAATAATGTAAGTCTTATTAATTATTATTTACACTATTTATATTCGGACTATTTGTTGTTGTTTCCACAAAGTTTTCGTTCTATTGCCAACGGCCTGGACATTGTGATAACAGCAACAAAGATGATAACCCGGATATAGATAATGTAAATAATGATAAATCCTTCTAATTAACCCATAGAAGAAGAGTAGGATTCATACCTTTCCCAATGGTAATGACCCTGACGAAACTTGAACTTGGCTTTCCGACTTGCAATTCCGAGATCGTTATCCATTACACCACAAGCACATTCAAGTTTCAGTGTCCGGTATTTCCAATTAGTCACCCATCTAGGTACTAACCAGGCTCGTCGTTACTTAACTTCGGTGATCGTAGGAGAACAGGTATTTCAACATGATATGTCCCGAACAACCGAGTATCATCATAATTACCACAGACTCTGTTACCATCTACTGCTTGTATCATTTGACTTTCCTCTCAATATTTATCATGCCTTACTCTATTTGTCCTTAAACTCATATTGTTTGCAACTTTCATTATGACCGGAACATTAAAAATTGTTATATAGGAATAAAATGTCGCTACCGACACTGGAGTTTGAACCCAGTTCACCAGAGGACAAACACAGGCGATCCCATTTTGAATAAGTAGATCACGTGATGACAAAGGAAATTATTTACATTATTCGAACTATTATCCTCATCTTTATCGCCATATTTATCACAACGTTTCGGCCGTTGTACGCTCCGGCCCTTTTCTGGTGGTTGGAATTTCGAACTGAACCCTTTATTTCAATCACTGGGGTAGACTGTTCTAGATCCACGTGCCATGTTTAATCGATGTCAGTTATCAGTTATCACCTGTTAATTCCCCTCTCCAAGTTCTCCACTGCCTTAGCTGGGTATTGAACTCACACTCTTTGGGTCCTGTCACTGGATCTAACTAACGCCTTTATCCACTGTGCCATGTGTCTTTGAGGATAGTGCAGAACTTTCAGAGGGAAAATTAACATGAGATAACTGATAACTGACATCCATCAAACATGGCATGTGGAACTAGAACAATCCGACATTCCAAACAACTGAAGAAGGCCGGAGCGTAGAATGGCCGAAACGTTGTAATAAATATGGCGACAAAGATGAGGACAATAGTCCGAATAATGTAAATAATGTACATAATACCTCATCTCAGAAATATAGACAGATACTGGCAAAGGAAATGTATATATGGGAATTAGCGTGGCGTCTGACTGATCACTTTTTCTACTATATCCTCTAGTACTATACGGATCACTATGTGATATGTTCCGGAAAGGGATATATTTGAACGAAGTAGCTAAGTGGTTTTGGCTACTATAACCAAGTAGAATACGGCAGCAGTAATCGACTGGTACGCGTCGTAGTCGCAAGTAAGAAGTGTAGATCAATGGCGTAATCCAATGGGCATTGTTATAGACTTAGCTCTCAGACGAAGGCTCTTCGACTTTCCTACACATCCGTCGGTATTTATGACGGACACCAGCCAATCATATTCCAGTGAAGGAAAACACAGGTGTATGCATATTCCATTATATCACTATGTCTATTCTATCCTCTATTACTATACAGAGCGCTATTCTCTTCACTATACTATTCTCTATACTGATTACTATACATATTACTATTGGGTGGTTACTTTCCAAGCGAGTATTATCGAGCAAGTACTATTATTGCGAGTGTTATTTGAAGGCGTCTGACACCAGTATTGTTCAACGGTGTTACTATAGGTGTATCTGCGATCTACTACAACGACCATTACGAAAGTGACAACGAGTATTCGTTGACATCATCAAAAGTGGCATACAGTGTTCGTTAACATCCCAAAAAAACAAAAAAACAACAAAAAACGAAGTGTCTCTGACATTGAAACTCTGATTGCAGATTATCTCTATTAAAGTAAAATAAATCATCAGTATCGTCAGTCTCTCGACTGCTTCAATCGTCGGAGGTACCAAACGGCAGAAGAAACAGACAATCTCCTTCCGGATGATCTGTTGGCGGTTGATTTCCGGCATTGTCATGTCCGTCCACTATTTTATATTGTCTGACCAGCAATTGCGTTGCGGTCACCACTTGCGTCCGTCTTCAACATTGCCTTGCATGTTAGGATAGCCATGTTAGACTTTCAGAGGCTGTTATCCGTGTTACTTGGCCAAACTATGCCATCTTCCGACGCTTAATAGTGGCCCGTTCTGTGTATGACGATAAACTACGTCCGCGTCCCGGGTATGACGATAAACTACGTCCAACAGCAAGGCGTCTGATCAGAAGGCTTTGAGGAGCGTAGAACCACATCTTAATTGCTGGTGTTCCCAGGTCCACCCTGACCTGAGGTGGTAACACCTGTTAGGGTCCCAGCTATGGGCAAATAGTTAACCCCGAATCTGGGGTAAAAAGCCTTATGAAAGTGTAAAAATAGGTTTTAATACCAGAAACACATTGTATAAAATTATTACTAGAAATAAATTTTTGAAGTAAAAAAACCATTACCAGCAATACATTTTTAAAATAATAATACATTTTTGAGGAAAAAATATTACCAGAAATAGATTTTTGACAAAACAAATATTACCAGTAAAAAAAAAAAGTTATCGGCATTAAATGACCCATTGAGGTTGATATGCCGTAAAACAAACCAAACCAAACCAAACCCTTGCCAGCTGTACAGTTGCGATGACAAATGCGCAATAAATTGAAATTTTCATTTTCTAACTCCTCTCACTTTCCAAAACCTTGCACGCAGCTTTTCAAAGGTACCACTAGGCTGTATACGTTATTTACCATTTTATCATCTAAATAGACATTAGAGTTGATTTTGTTGCCTTAAGTATGTCATAGATTTCACATACTTTAAAGTCTACACAACAGTTTGACGTGATGGTACACTGTTTAAGATCATTAGGATTAGTGTAGATTTTGGCTGGCATATAACTTCTGTTTTTTCTACACCTGTTGTTAGACTAAATGCTTTTGCTGCAGAGGAGAATATGTTTACTTCTGAAACTTTCTTTAAAGATCTAACTAATACAACCGCATCAACTGCAAACAAAATGTCTAAAAGCCATTTGATGTTTCCGGTAGCTTGCTATCCGTGTGACTTGGCCAAACCATTCCATCCTCCGACATTTAATAGTGGCTATCCTATTCTTTAACTTTATAAGAGCCAGGTCAGGCCGGAAGTAGAACACTGTTACCATATTTGGTCGGGAGCTGCTCAGATCTCAGTTTCCAATTTTGAAAAAAAAAAAGCGTCTTCAATTCAATTTTGGAGAAGAATTGTTTTCCACCCTCTAACCTCTCTCTCAAAAGCGGAATCTGGCGGATCTCTCATTGTTCTATCACTACTTCCATGGAAAGTGCTCAGATGAGCTACATTTCTTGGTTCCACCAGACCTGACCTTCACGGCTAGGACCCGCCATGTCACTTACACAGTAACAAAACACCGTCATTCACTCCGAATTCCACTGGCAAAAAGTAAGTTCCACTCAAACAGCTGATTGGTTAAGTTCGTGAGTAATTTAATTAAGTGGTGAGTAATTTGACAATGGAGATTCCTGTTGGTCCACCAGACTTTTGACCTGGTTTTGTACATAGTCATTTGTTTTGTGCCCCCAGTAAGCGATGCGGAGGAAAATTCTCAAGCATTTGTTCTCGAACGCCTGCATCTTTTTCTTGTCTCAAGCAGGAGTGTCCAAGAATTGTCCCATAGAGGTGGATGGATACAACCAACGATTTGTAGAGCTTGAACTTGATTTGGAAGTTGATGCTGTTCTTCCATATCCTTTTCAAACTTCATATTTCCGTATGCAAAATGAATAAGTATCGCTTTTGACTCGGTCCTATCTTTATATTTCATACATGTACATTTATAGTTGTAATTGTTCTTCAAATCAATTTTAATTTTGCCCCGTAACATTTCGTTAACTTAATGAATAGATATTAAACCGTATACAATTAATGAAGAAGAACAAGGAAATCACAAAGTCAATGCCGATCCCAAGTTAACTTCTGTCATGGAGTAAGTTCATTAATAAAAATTCTAAATTCGGACTTATTTCTTTTTAATGTAAATTAAAAAAAGAAATTCAAGTCCCTGAAGATGATAGATAACGGGATATGGAAAACATCCTTTGATGCCCCTTACTGAAATACATATCTTGATGTCGGATTCCCTTAATCAGTTTCATGTTGGAATTGGTTGAAACATTAGAGAATAAAAACTAACATGAAAGAACATTTTCATACATACAGTTCTTTTGAGATTTTCTCTGATAAAATATTTTTATTGTATATATATATATATATATATATATATATATATATATATATATATATATATATATATTGTTGTAACCTAGAAAAGGTTACTGAATGAGGAATGGCCAAAACGGAGGTTGGAAATGAAAATAGTAATTATTATAAAATCAACAAAATCTAATGCTCGCCAGCGGCGTCAAGCACGTAAACCACTGCTTGTGGTGAATTACTTAGACAGCATATTACCCCCACTTACAATAGTATACAACGTATTTATGAGGATTATATTCATAGGTACGGTATATAACATATATATATTGAAGTTAATCGAGAGAAATTGTGTATAGTCTTTAGTAATATGTACATAAATATATATTACTAAAGACACCAGACATTTTGTGTCGATTAATTTTACTGCTCAACGTTTGCAAAATAGTCCCACTCAGACAAAAAGGAAATTCCGTCAGAAATTGTCTCAACTTCATTGCGAAAGAAATAGGGTCCAAGCTTAAGCGTTATTTCTTTTCTTTCTTATTCTAGGCTCAACGCTTAATACCTGCAAAAACAAGGTTTTTATTGGTCCAAATAAAATTTCACATAGCCTCACGAATTTGTTTTCGTCTTTTACTCTGCTCGCCGGCCAATTTCTGTAACGTCAAAATTTTCATTGATCCAAAGAAAATTTCACACAGGATCTCGAATTTCTTTCCGACTAGTTCCTCAGCTCGTCCAAATTTGAAGCGGCTGGGGTAAAGGAATTTATATCCGCTAGATTCAGATTCATACCTAAAACGTAAACAGTAATTTTTGAACGGATTTTTCCGACCTCATTTTTATTAATAGAAGCGTTATTTTATTAGGTACAGATTTTCAAGTTGATATCCCTATTTTGTTTCGTTGTTGTTGTTTTTTTATAAAAATAAAATTATAGATAGCCAGATTTGGATTAAACTTGAACTCGTATCTTCCGTGAATATATCGAATAATAAAAAGATTTCATGTCAAAATTTCGAAAATAATGTCGACCATTATCGCAAGGTAGTGAAAACGATAGCAGAGAAGAATGGAAGAAATTATGAGCGGGTGACAGTTGCAGGAGGATAAG